ATGTCCTGGGAACTAAGGTTCACTTAAAGTGGGAACTAAACATATTTTCCAAACTGAGAACTATATACAGTCACAAAGAATTGTTTATTACACAGAATCTGTGCCAATATCAGGTCCATAACTATGTCAGCATCACTTGGTCATTGAGTGTAGTTTGGGCTCCTCCTCAATGCATCCTATAAATGTTGTCATATGTCTTGCACACATCCAGTCTGTTCATTAGTAACATGCAATTTTATAGAAGGTGTTGAATTTGATCTTTTGCATTCTTTCTTATCATGTAGACAACAGATTAAGTAAAAATATGAATATGCAATATAGCGCATAAATGCTCCTATTTATAGTTATTTTTTCTTATTTTGAGCTTATGGACAGAATGGTTATTCTGAGGTAAATGATTGTTACGTGGCATTGTTTACAAGCTTTACTCGTTTTCCGCAGTTTGAAACACTGAATGAGCGATTACATGAGACATTTCAGTAAGAAGTACTGTAGGTTATCTTATAATACACCTTTTGATGTCCATTCATGTTTATTTCATACTATAGTAGTAAAGAGAAAGATATGATGGATTCACGTGCCGCTTGAACTGAGGCAAATCGCTCATGCGTTTAATTAAAGAGCGCCAAAGCGGTATTTATTGTTTGAATTTCTTTACGAATTTGGCAGAATTTTAAAGCTGATACTTTGTTTATGAAAGGGGTCATATGATGTTGCTAAAAAGAACATTATTTGGTGTATTTGGTGTAATGAAATGTGTTTATGTGGTTTAAGGTTCAAAAAACACATTATTTTCTGGGCTAGAGTGAGGAACGGCCAGCGGGCTTGAGAATGGCGCGGCCAGTGGATTCGACGAAGGAGCGGCCGGCGGGCTTGCGGCAACCATATGTGACAACCCAAGGCTGGACTCCGCTCGGTAACACTTCTCGTTTATAATAGATACTAATATGGCTGCTTGTTATCAAGATCTCTAGTCTACATGCTGTGTTTTGTTAATGCGTGAACTTCATATTATTTGTAGTGCGCTTGCCATCCAATAATCGCAACAAGCTTTGTGCTCTGTTACCTTTTAAAGGGGTCATAATATGATGCAATTTCAAGTTTTCCTTTCTCTTTGGAGTGTTACAAGCTCTCGTGGAGACGCTGTGTGCTTCGTCATGCCTGGAGCTGATTCGTGCTGGTCGCTGAGGAAATACATCAACTTCGCGCTGTGGATCGCCGGATCGGCTTTCACCATGGACGAAGCGGAGCCCAGCCCGGGGTCATCACGTGGTTGCCGCAAGCCCGCCGGCCGCTCCTTCGTCGAATCCGCCGCCTCTGCTCAC